TATGGGCCAACTATGCAAACACATGAATCTACGGTGGTGGTGGTGGTGGTGAGGGGGACACCAAACCTGTTCAACTCACCACAATATTCAAAACATAATGAGATCATAACAGCCTACTTGGCTAGAGCATCTGTTTAAATGTCAACAGGAACATAGAGGATCTTCACAAGCATTTTTTACCATAATACTTAGTATAAAAATTGTGTGCTTAAAGATCAAGCTAAAATTCCAACATGAGAAAGTTTCTTCTGAGGCCTTGCCCTTAGCTAAGGAGCTATATTGACAGGTAACAGTTGCTGGAGGAGGAAGAATAGTTTTTCTTTGGGGTTGTGGCCACTGCTTCAGTAGATGCCTACACACCTATGCTCTCAAGGCCAGGATCAGCATTAACAGGACTCAGATGAATAAAAGAGGATATGAAATTGGAAAGGAGTCATGTCAGAGGACCCAGGAGGAATTAGTGATGGATGCAAAGTGGATCTGATCAAGATATATTGTATATATGTATGAAATTCTGAAAAATTAAGGGAAATATGTCATTAAAATTATATTATTATTTAGAAATCCATAATATATCATTTTCAGAAGATATAAATAAATGTTTATTAATTTATTGCCAACTGGAACTCAGTAATATTAATATCCATCCTCGCACTTATGTACTTTTAAGAATTTAAATTTATATTAAATACTAAAAGTTGACTTACTTATTTCTGACAGAAAAATAAAATTTGGTTTCTCACACACTGTGCCGCAAACTCCATCTCTCTAAATGTTTTAAGTGCATCTGAACTTATGATGAAGTATGTTTTATAAGTATTACATTGCAAAATAGTTCTATAGTATAATTCATCTTTCACACACTAATTACAATATTATTTCATGATTTGGTCCAAATATCTCATAAGACCACTGGCTCTGCTACACATAGAGAGAGAAAGTCTAATAAAAGATTGAGTTTTCTACTTCCCATTCTTAGTTCTCTATCACTCCTACATCCCCTGACCCCCGCCATCATGCTGCTGCTGGGAGGTTGTGAATGCCTACTCTACATTAACCATGATAGGCCTGGGTTGCAAGGATGAGCTGGGCATCTCCAAGTCCAACCAGTCATTAATTATTTTTTTCAGAATTCACCCACTGATGCAAGTTCTTTCAGAACTATCTTCTTTTGAAACTTCGTCTCTTTTCTTTGGTGTCAGAAAAAAATTGTTTATTTGAGATGCAGTTCTATAATCATCTTCAGAGAAAGTAAATTTTACATGGGAATTATTATTGCTAATCAAAACATTGGAAACTACATGATTTTAATTTAGTTTCAGATATTAGTTTTGGATCAAGTTGAAAGCCGTAAGAAATCTGCAAATGAGACTCATTGTTAATTTTTTGGTGGTAAGTGAAGATGTTGAAGAATATGAATATTTAAAAATGAACATTTTCACCTAAAAGCTGCATAATAGTTTGAATGTCTTGTTAACTGAATCAACCTAAACAACTTTTAATAGTCTTATTTATCATATAGCAAGGTTGATAGCATAGTAATTAAAGTAGTATAGAGAATGTAGTAACGTTGATGGCATGTTCAAAATAATACATGTAATGTTATTGTAGTATAAATAATTATGTAAAAGGAATCTGAACAATGGCAAGTTTGAGTATAAAAGTGATAGTGTTGATAATATTCACATTAAAGTTAAAATAAATAATCATCTCTCATCAAAACTTTGTATTTTATTATAATGTCTCCTGAAATAAATATTTCAAAATAACCCTCAAGAATTTGCCAATCAGAAAATAGTTATTAGAGTGATTTTCAGTAGCCGGAGCAGTGGAGAAGAGATGTGGAGGATAGCATGGAATCCAGAGAACCTGACACAGTAATGTGGCTGTACAAAAGAGATTCAGAAGAAATAAAATGATCAATGCACCTGGCACCATTGTGCCATTTAAGAATCAGAGAATCTGTGTTAAAATGCAATAATGGTTTCAGAGCTGTCTATAACTGAAAGTTTAATGATTTTAAGATTTGCATATATCTCCAGTGAATAACATTCTGAAATGAAATCTGTATGAATAGGAAAAGGGTCTGTTTATCACTGTTTGCTACTTATACCAAGTCACCTGGTACATTTTTATTATCTGGGCTTGCACCTAGGGCCTGTTGTTTGCCATTCAAGCTCTCTACTGCTGAGCAACACACCAGTCCCTACAGTGACATTTTCCAGACTAGTCACAGATGTGTTCTCTGCAGTGATTTTTCCTGTATTTGTTTTAAAGCTCACAGTAAAGAAGAAAATCATGACTGTCTATTCTGATTATATGTCCCCCATTTCTCTTTTCTGTGACATTTATTCTGTAGCATTTTTGAACAAACAGTAAGGCATGGAAGCTGAAAACTATAGATGAATGGAACATGGCCAACTATTTGCCAGCCTTATCTGGTTATGCTTACACTGAAGGAAGTATTAATATTTTACTTTTTCTAAAGCTTCACATTGCTTAGTGAATCGGAACAGAGTTTGTGAGGAAGCCACAGTTAATAACAATGAAATACAGATGTCTTACCATAAGTAGAACAATTAATGCAAAGAACAGATTTTTTTTTAAAAAAAATAGTTTCTATGGCAAAACAGACTTAAATTTCTTCTGAGTGAGTAAGACAGGTTTCATGGACACCTGAGGAGGACAGTGTGCCTTTTGAATTTTGCTTTCATAAATACAATTAATGAGAACGTGTTTCTACAAACTAAATAATGTATACAAAAGATGATTATTCAACTCTATATTGGTTTGCCTCTCTTGAAAGAGAAGTCTAGACAGAAGAAGAATGAGAAGTTTAATTTAGTAGGCCCCTCTTGCTTACAAGGCTGGGGATGGAGGAGTGAAGTTAGGGGGAAAGATGCATGCTTTTAGCTTTCTGTATCCTTCCAGTGCTCTTGAAGACAGGCAGAACAGCTGTGACTTTGGCATGCAGGGGCCAGCTTGCTCAAGAAACTTTGGTATATAGAAAACAAATGCATAAACAAACTTCCCATGCAGGAAGTTGAGTTTAACAGACGCCTCATTAACAAGATCTAGGCAAGGACAGGAAAGGAGGAGGAAGCCAATCACTCATTATTATACAGTTCTAGACAGATGAAGCCCTTCAGCATTTCGCCAAACAATGCCTGTAGTGTCGATTTGACAAAGTGGCACATTTGAGAGGAAACTCTCTAACCATCAATGGGAAGCAGACACACCCATATCTTAGGGCCAAATTCAGTTCCAGAAGCTTGATTTTATCTGTAGACACAAGATAGAGGACAAGGCAGCTATATCCACTGAGAATTAATTAAGAGAGATAGCTAGTGAATGTAATCAATAGCTTGACCATGGATATATATACGAACCACAGTTGCTTTCACCTTTCTATTTCTTGTAAGTTCTTTATACTTAGGGGTTTTTGAACACCTACCTCCACAGAAGGGTATCTGATATCTGACTGAATGGAAATTATATACTTTTTATAATATCTCATACAAGATATGTCAACAAAGTCAAAACATGCTGGTGGCAGTTTAAGTTTCTAAATGGATGACATCGTTTTAGTTAGGCTTTTGTTGTGAGTAATTTATTAGTGTAAAGTTTCCCTGATTATTTCTCTAGGTTTTCATGGGATGTTTGTTCAAATAAACCAGAAAGCAGAGCTGCTAGAATTCATATGCAAATTTGTCTTTACTGACTACTTTTTTTAATAACTGTTTCCTTTAAAGTTTCCTGTTCACAGAATACTCTCTCACACACAAAGCCTTTTCCCTGTACCCATATTTGTTTCTCAAACAGATATCTCACCCCTTGCCCAGCCCAGCATACCCAAGTATATTGCAGTTCCCTTTATGAAGCCAATGAAAACAACTACAGAACACTGATGTTGCTTTCATTGTGGGTGGGCAATAGTACAATGCTAATATTACCTTCAGTTTTCAATGGCTTACCAGAAACATCACTTCTCAAGACCAGGTTCTTGGTTAAGCCCTTTAGCAGGGACTGTGATTTCCTCTTGAATCATGCTTTGTGCTTCTTTCCTAAGCAGCACTGAGACCAGAGTGATTTGTCAGTCATCACTTGATCTAGCACCAGTAGGTTTAAAGAAGTCTTTATTACTTAAGGAAAATAGGAAATTCTGTCTCCTGGGTGTAAACATGAATTGTCTATGTCAAAAGCCAAAAGTATATGCAAAAGGTAGATTTGACCAGTATTTCTGTAAGAGTGAAGATCTCTTTAACCCATACAGGTAATGCTTTTCTTGTGAGCCACTTGGCATAGTCTATCTACATATCTTTCTGTGTCACACTTGATCTAACTTTACAGATCTTACTCATATCATACTCCCTTTAAAATAGATGGGATTGTGACCTGAGTAAGTACCATAAAGCCAGAGCCTACGAGTTCATCTAAGTTTGATTGGTTTTATATGTGGATATGATTTGAACAGTACCAATGCAACCTCAACATAGGCTGGAAGAGAATGATGCCATACTAAATGAAACACTGAAATGGAAACAGACAATCTCTCTGTTTGGAAGAAGTGGGTTCCTTCTTATTCAGAGTGTGGCAAACAAGGATAATGTTTAAATGCAATGATAAAATGCAGAATCACTATTGATACAATGGCAGCAGGTAGCATCAATTTTGGTGGGCAAAACAACAGAAAAAGTTGATGAAATCTAGAAAAAAATACAATATCCATGATTTAGGCCCACTTCAGGGAGCTAGTGTTCAACCACTTTGGTTTTTATATGGCCTTCAAAGGTTAATGTCAATTATGATCGTTTTAGAATCAAAATTAAAACAAAAATTGCTTTTACCTGATTGCTGATCAAAAGTATGAGATGGAGAAAAAGAAAATAAACCAACAAACATACTATGTTTACACAGAAAGTAAAGTATTCTTTCAGGGACATCAGGGAAGGTGGAATACTATAACAATGCATGTTCTATTGTTATACTATTCCACCCACCTTAATGAGGAACCCTTGGGCGTTGCTACACCATAGCCTTTGGAATCCAGGTTTCCTCCCACTTTCATCGTGTCACAGGGCTTTCGTTGCTCGATGTATTCGTTCATCGTGGACTCCAGGAGGAAGGCGAATTTGCCCTTGGACTTGCGGACACGAGCCACGCCCTCAGCGGTAGTTCTAGTGAACACAGATGGCTCTGCCGATCGCATGTAGGTCCACATCTTTTCATACACTGCTATTTTTGATCTCTGGAGGAAATGCAAATAAAATTAAATACAGGAAAGAAGGGAACAGCATGTTAATATAGGCAGAAGTGAGGTTACAGTAAGTCTTTTAGGTCATTCCATTGTCAGTTATTCAGTTTGCATGGCAGAAACCTAACTCTGTAGAAACTGGAAAACTAAATTTTAAAAATTCTTTTAAGAAATCAACCAAGTGCCAGGCATTTATAGCGATGATTTCAAAAAGCATGTAGCACTTGCCATGATGAATATTATACCATACCGTTTTACTCGATGTTGTTTTGATGTTATTGAAGGTTCCTGAAAAGCACTGAACCTTTAAAGCTTCATGTTCTATCATATTCATGAGGAAGGTGAAAAGGACCATGTCAGATCTCATTTTCACTTCAAAAAAACTCTTCTCAGCTCTATATTTGAGTTGTAATAGAGTTGTTGTGTGTGTGTATACACATGCATATATATGTATGTGTGTATGTTAGGTATATTATACATAGTATATATTTGAGTTGTAATAGACTTGTTATATATGATAGTTATATATATGCATTATTTTATATAATGTATAAAACGTTATATACAACATATATATAAAGCTATATACAACAAGTCTATTACACCTCAAATATATGATATATATTGTTTTTCATGCCTCAAAAGATCAGTTTATATCAAGTCAGCCCTTGAACATTCAAGGGAGAGAAGATAAGCACTGCACCTTACGAACTGAGTACCCTCTGAAGAATAGTCAAGTTCCAGATGACTTACACAGCTTGAGATTGAATCTGACAAAATCAGCAAGTGGAACACTACACAGGGCATTAAAGACAAGTGGTTTTTGTTTTTACATTTCATTTTGGCTTAATTCATTCTAAGCCCATGACTCTGGCCAAGAAGCTTATTCTTTTTATAAATTATTTCTCTCTACCTTTATCACCCTTACTATTTAATTTACTTATTTTTTGATTTTAAGTTAAATTTTAGTTAGTTGTTATTATTGTGTGTGAGTGTACATAAACATGTGTATATGGTTGTACATGCATACGTGTGAGGTCAGATGTCAACTTTGAGTGTCTTTGCTTAGGTCCCATTCACCCTGCTCTTTGAGACAGGTTCTTTTTTTTTTTTTAAATTGCCTATTTTATTTATTTACATTTCAAATGTTATCCCCTTTCCCCAGTTTCCGCTCCACTCGGCAAGACCACACACATGAGGGGCGCGAAGGGCAGAGAGCTAGAAACAACATCACTGTCAATATTTATCTGGGGTGCTGCATATTTGTTCATGAATGAAGACAAGCAAATATTTATAAATTTGATGAGATAGGCTGAAGTGAGGGACACCCTGCAGACTCAGCAACCTAATAAATGCAACAGTCATGGACATTTTAAGTCCCCAAATCTTTCAACTGTAGAGATAACATAAAAATCAGGCATGGGAAATAGATATGCCCAAGGTAATAAGTAAAGATCACATAAAAGTAATTTTTTCAAATCAGACATGTCAGATCTGCCTGTTTGATTGTTATTGTACAACAACAATGCCTGATGTGGAGCATCAGTGTCTTAGTGCAAGCAATCCTCGGAGGCTTAATGATGCTGTTCTCCTTCCTCACACATGGAGCAGCTTATATACTTGCATAAAATAGAAAATGTATGTCATGCATTCTAACGCGTGTTTAGTTGCTTTCTCTCTGTTGGTGGTTGTGGGCAGCAGGACCCGTGTTCTGGGGAGATCTCATCTGTATCTTGTTTGATAAAATTTTAAGCCACGAGCTGGTGATCTACTTCACTTATTCTTCCATCTTGCTGAAGAATGAAGCAGGCAGAACATTCAATTTGTGTTGAAATAAAACCAGTGTGTCTGGGTCAGATACGTAATGTAAAAGCGTTTGAACAGCAAAGCTTTATGAGTGACACGTAGAATGCTTTAAAAACATCATCATGGGTGTGCTTCACATGGGGTGCAGGGACCCAAGTGTAGTGAGTTTCATAATGGGGTGAAGCAAAGGCAGATGCATATATAATTTTCCACCATACATGGCCCATGTTGTTTTCGTGGCTGGTAATAGCAGTTCTTTCTTGTGGAGTGCTGAGTGTGGGTCACTCACTGCCTGAGGTGGCTGAGTGGAGCCGACAGATGAGCCATTACTGTGTACCTATAAGAAAGCATTTCTGACAAGTACAAAAATACCCTTCACATCCCGTTTTTTCAGCTCATCAGGCAAATGGTTTATTTAAACCAGGTCACCATGAATGGGTATGGAGGGAGGCAAGCAGAGTAGGAAATGAATTGTTTGTTTGTCTTTAAATGAGAAAACCCAAATGTACACATTGCTGAAAGTGTTTTGCCTGGGAAAATTACTTTGTTGTCCCATTAGCCTTTGGAGTTTTCTGAAAAAAGAAATTCCCACACTTAGAAAAATCTTCCTATTGTAAAACTGAAGGTGAGCAACAGAGAAAAAAAGAGACGCTTGACGCGAGATAGGGCTTGTACAGGAAAACTACGGAAGCAGCTTCCCGCGTTCCCATGTCTTATTAATGCAGCCTCTTACCTACTTTACCAGCTTTCAGATTTGAACAGGAAAAACAAAGCATTGTAAAAGATTAAGGAGTCAGTCTTTGCATTTTGTGAACTGCTAAAGAACTTTATGGTGAGTTATTGACTAGTTTTTGAAAGGTATCAACATGATATGTCTTTCCACTTTCATTACTCAAGGTTGGATGATGAACTTGCACATATTGTCATTGAATGAGCATGCTCCATCCCTTCTCAGTCAAAGGTGAGTGACAGCATTCTGTTGTGACGCAGATCAGTTTCCAGGTAAAAATCAGGAACCTTACCTACCTCTTCAGTAAGTTAAGAGAACCTTGGCTGAATTACTTTATCTGTACAATATTGCTAATTAAGTCTTTAGTGATAACAATTACTTAGCAATTCAGAAAAATTTACGAATATTTTTAGAACATTTGAAATTTTAATTAATATTGTGGCTAATGCTCAATGCTAAGCACAACAATGCTCACTGTTTTCTTTGTTTTAAGCTTTGAGTGATTTGTTGTTTTAGATTTATGTAAATATTTGTAATATTATATAATCAGAATGAAAATAAAGATTCTCTTCTTGAAAGGTACCTCAGTGAAATTTGGGTAAATTTAAAGCTGACACACAGAGTATCACATTCAGTTGTATTTATTTGCAACCTAGTGAGAAAATTACATATTTAACTCTTTCAGCTACTGTTTAAAAATACAAAAGTTAACCTATTATTGCTCTCAAATAAAAAGTTTAGAAAATAGTGAAACATTTCTCATGTTCCAAATAGTTTACCACCTCTTGTCTTCAAACACTTGATACAAAATGAGTATATACAAAATATACTCATTATCTATGAAAATATCACTTTGGCTACCTTTTAATATTTTGTCCCAAATTCAAAAAATGAGCTGGTAATACCTGTGTGTATACATTGCTAAGTAAGTATTGTAGATCTACGAAGAACCAAACTAGCAGGGGATTCACAGAAAAGAAGGGAGTATTTGGAGGTGGGAGAGGACAAACAGAAAGGGGACGTGGAGGGATACGGGGAGGGCAGTAGGAGAGAGACATAGATGGGTAAAGACAAAGTATGAAATGCATATGAACAAAAAATCCCACAGCCAAATCAGTTGCTTTTTTGAACTTAAACAAACAAAATCAAACCTCAAAAAGGTTAAAAACAATTTAACTCCCAAACGGAGCAACTGGAAAAGTAAAACCCAACAGACAGACAGACAAAATGGTGCTTCAGTGATAGAGAGCAGAAGGGACCTCATCCACACACATGACACAGTAGTGTCACTTTGAAACATCTTACCGCTAAAGAAGTCATCAAATATACATTCCATACAACCTCACAAGGTCCCCAGAGCCATTATTGCAGAGTTTCCCAAACTGTTAAGGAGGTACTTCTTTTGCTAATAGGATTTTGTAAGAAAGCAAACCCATTGTTATGAAAAATAGATTACAGACTAATTCAGTTCAGAAAACAGCATAGTCTGCCATTGAGGTTTTGGGAATCAAATTCAGCAAGTTAAGTGCAGTCTTTAACAGAAATGTTTCCTTCCTTTTTTTTTTTTGTAATATTCTTGGCCTCAAAAATGCTGAATTTGCCTGAAGTAAAATGATCAGAGAATGAGTAACACAGGAGTGTTGGGTAAATCATGTTTTATATGATGTAACCTTAGTTACCTTTTTACTATTATTTCTTAGAGAGGCTGCCTCTTGTGAATCAGTTAAGAAAGTGAAAATTATGATTATAAAAACCCATGAGGACATACTGAGTAGTAAACTTGGCTGTTGCCAATGTGTCTTTTAATCTATACTAATTTAGGTCATAATATAACTGTCACAAACATTGTCCAGAATTCATAATTATGAATGTGCCATTATTTTCCCTGTGACTTACTCTGAAGAATTCTTTTGTTGACCCCGAATCAAGTGTTCCATAGGCAATTTCTGTTTGTTTGGCCAGGTCTTCTGCACTTTCTATGGGAGAGACCATTCTCTCCACTGTCAGGAACGCAGCCAGATTAGCAGTGTAGGACGAGATAATGATAAGTGTGAAGAACCACCAGACACCTCCAACAATCCGACCTGACAGGGATCTAAGTATGGAGAAGATCACACAGTTTTCCCCTTTCAAACCCAAAGAGAAGAAAGAATTGTCACCAATTCTTAGTCATATTTAAAATTTACAATCTCAAATATTGTACTATTTTCTGCTAGTCTATTTAATAATGATGTCTTTTATATTATAACTAAAATGTGTCATTGAAGACATGGAAAATTGAATTTATTATTTTATTGGCAGAAATTTGGAACTTTCCTCTCTGGCAGATAGCAAAGGGAAAGTCGTCCTCAGTGCCCAGAGACTAAGGGAAAGCCCATCTGAGCTCTACTGGATGCCATGTAGGCTAGGTTGGAAGACTGAGTCCCAAGTCACCTACCTTTGAGCTAAGCAGATGTCTTAAAAGTATTTTTTATGTTGATATAACAATGTCAACTAAGGATGTGCATGTGAGTTGTAGCTCACAGAGGATAGTTAAAATGAGATAAATTTTAAAAATGCAGGAAAAAATGCTCATAATGAGTTTTACTTATTCTTACCATCAAGACACGGGCTCTTTCACTATGTAGTCCAGGTTAGCCTGAAACTATACAGCAAAGTTTTCTTATACTTGGGTCAATTTTCCTGCCTCAGTCTTCTGAGTACTGGTATTATAGGTAGGCAAATAACTATGCATGTCAAATAGTTTCAAACTTTGAAATTACATTTTTTTAATTTACGTGTGGGCATGTGCTCATGTTCACCATGTTATATATACATAAGAGGTCAGAGGACAACTTGAAGGAGTTAGGTATTTTCCTCTACCAGGTGATTTCCAGCTATTGAACTCAGATCCTTGGGTTTGGTGTTAAGCACCTCTACCCTCTAAGCAATCTCCATAGTCCTAAACACTTTTTGTTTTGCTTGAAGAGTCACTTTGAATTTTCTATGATGTTTCTATGCCCCAATCTCCTTTGCTAATTTAAATCAGACACTTTGTGATTTGAAGATTGGTTTCTGCTACATTTTAACTTAATATTGGGTTAATCTTCATTTCAAAACACTTGGATTGCCCTGATTCTTCTTGTCTCTGTGTGTTATGTTATTGAAATTTAAGCAGGTTTTTGCCATTTTCTGGGTCGTCTGAATTTCCAATGCATTGGGTCCAAAAGACCTTCTTCTGGGAACATAGATATGTTCTCTCTCTCTCTCTCTCTCTCTCTCTCTCTCTCTCTCTCTCTCTCTCATACACACACACACATATGTAAGTTCAAATATATAAAATCCAATATTTTACTTCTTTACTTTTAGTTGCTCTGAGGGAAAAATGACGCATCTTTTGTGTAATGATCTAGAGTCTTGGTGATGCAGTAACTGAGTGGCACCAAAGAAAGGAAATCACAATCACAACTCCTCATGTAGAAACAGAGCTATTAAACTAGTACAGAGTTTACATGGTCAGATCTTCCTCTTTTGCTCAACTTCAATATATTTTTATGAAAAACTATACTCATCTACTACAAACCACACCTTTTCATGTTTTTAGAATTCCCGTAGCAAAGATTTGTCCCAAGTTTCTTGAGTTAAATTCAACACTAATTTTGATTATGGATAATAGTAAAAGACAAAGCAATAATTTTTTGGAGAGGAGATACCATGAAAATGAGTGTTATTCTACAGTTTTGTTAACACTTGTCAAGCCATTGGATGAAATCATACTGCAAAATCATTCTGGAGAGTGGCAGTGGAATGCATTATGACTTTTCTGTGGGGGAAGTTACTTTCTGTGATGCATTCATCTTTTGTGGTAGCTTAGAAGAAATTAGTAATATATTACTTAAGATGATCTGAGAATTGAAAATTTCCCTGCATTTCAGAAAATGTTCTAACTCCAGGAAAGAAAGAGAGAGATTGTGGAAAACAATCAGAATCTCTGAGACCTAGACAAGTTTTGATACTAACCTGGGAGAAATATCACATCCTTGTTGCATAAAGGCACCCAGGGAAAACCAGAGGCTGTTAAAGATGCCAAACTCATTGGGAGGCTGGTCACTGGGTCCTTCCTTTCCATCCTCAGGTTCTTCTGTGTGCCACTCGTATGGACTAAATCTACTGACTAGGAACAAGACCACACTGACACCAATGTATGCAAACACTATGCACATCCAGATCTCATAGGCCAGAGGGTCCAAGAAGGAAAACACTCCTGGTTTAGATTTCTGAGGCTTTTTGATCATAATAGAGATGCCTAAACTCATAAAAGGCTTAGAGAAGTCGATGACCTCCTCTCGAACCAAAGTGATTGTTAGAGGTGCAATAGCAATCTCTGCTTTCTACAAGAGAAGAGACACATGGATATACACAAGTTAGTGGATTTCACAATGCAGTTAGCAGTAGAGTGATCAGCAAAATTTTCCAGTCATATATCTTTTTTTTAAAAATCATTAGGAGGGCCAACAGTGATCAATCCCAATTACAGGCTAATAAAACATGTCGAGGTTTGGCTTCATGAGATGTTACTTAAATTGCATAGAATTTTTTTAATTGACAAGGTTTTTTATTTTTTATTTTTTTTTGGGTTGGTTTGTTGTTGTTGTTTTTTTTGTTCTTGTTTTTATTATTGATGTTGTTTTGTTTTGGTTTTGAGACAGACAGAATCCCTCTGTAATTTAGGCTGGTCTTGGACTCATGGTCTTCATCTTTTCCAAGTTCATGGGTACTGCCTGATTATCAGTGTTTACCTGATCAAATGACCCCTGTTCTTTTGATTACATATTGCAACTCAGTTCACACATAAAAATCTGAAAATTGGCATTTGTTTTTTGTGATATACACATGTTGATTTTCTTTTTCCAATATTCTTTTACAACAAGATTTTAGAATACAGTATCTCTAATTCTTAGATATCAAGATCACAAGTCACCTTTTTCAGAGTTTGGTGACCCTGGGTTTTTTTTTCTCTGCAGCTCTAAAATGGGGCTGTGTTTTCGCCTGTTTATTTTAATATGTGACTGTAATTATATACTAAATCCTTAATGGAACTTTGGTGAGCATGTGCTGACAGACTTTTTATCTGATGAATAAGTATTTTAAATGTCTCATTTCTTGTTCCCTGTCTTAAGAGAACTGAGACACAGTGAGTTTTTCACACTGTGGCAACTCTTGGACACAAATATGGGAAAATCTACAGCAGAATTATATAAACTGTTCCATAAAAAAATTAATCCATGTTCTGAATGACAAATTATAATAGAGTTTTATTGAATTTAAAAGGAAAATAATTCTCATCAAAATATATGTGATTTACACACATATAGTTTATCTGTGAGGCTCTCATTTTGAAATGATTTTATTTATTTTGATGTTTGTGTATGTGCACACATGATTTGGTTCTCACAGAGACCGGAGTGGCTGTTGGCTCCTCTGGAGCTGGAGTTCCAGGTAGCTCTGAGCTCCTTGTCAGTGGTGGTGGGAACTCATCTCTGGCATTTTACTCTTGCAAAAGCATCAAGTGCTCTTAAGTACTGACACTTCTTACTTTTATTTTTAAGTTTTATCTACAGACAATCTTTCTTAAACTCACTGATACATAGATTCAGGCTCCTGGTTGGGTATAATGATGCCAGCTCAATACGAAGAGTAAAGATGTGAGTGGACCTTGTGTTCTAATGCTCGGAACATTGTGTGTGCCTTGTCTCATTATCATTCATTGATAAATAGAATAGAGTGTGTGAGATGCTTCTTTTGGAAGCTGTATAAGATTTTTATTCTAAACATCATTGGAGTGACAGTAAGGAAATACTTCACTTCATCACTCATACCACAGGCAACTCTGGTGTTCAGTGAGCCATAAAATATCCTTCACTTCTTTTGATCAAACAAATACAGATACACACACATACTCACAGAGAGAGAGAGAGAGAGAGAGAGAGGAGAGACAGAGAGAGAGAGAGAGAGAGAGAGAGAGAGAGAGAGAGAGAGAGAGAAAGAAGAGAGAAAAAAGGATTGATGGCAGTGTCCTGAGAGTACAAAGCAGGTCCTGGTGTGGTTTATATTAGGTCTTTATGCAAGTAAAGCAAGACAATCAATGCTTAACAATTACAGTAGCCACTTGCAAAGAGCTAACAAAAGACAATGATCCCATTGCTTGTCATTTTACTGTATAATAGACTTTGTCTATAAGAAAATGACCATGTTTTGCCTCAAACCCTGCAAGCTGGGCATTTCTTCATATGTTAAGAATTAGAAAGAGAGAAAAGTCTATGCTTGAGAATCAGGTATAGACTTTGTACAATCTACCGTAAAAGGTAGGCTGTGGAACCATTTAAGAGATATGAAGACAGTTCCTCTGAGGACAAGGTGCACAAATCAACTGATAGAGATTGGCATCTTCAAATACTTGGGATCTGCTAAAAAAAAAAAAAAACCAGTGTGTTGCCACTAAGGACTTCCATGGCATCTCCTTGCTCTCTGAGCATAACTTCAGGACTTTCTGTTTCTCTGACTTGTGACGAGTTCCAGAAAATTCACAGGTAGTGTGGTGGTTTGAATATGTTTGGCCGACGGAGTGGACCTCTTTGGAGGTGTGTCACTGTGAGTAGGGGCTTTAAGACCCTCATCTAAGTCTTCTCCACTTTGCCTTCAGAACAAGATGTTGAACTCTTAGCTCCTCCTGTGTCATGCCTGCCTGGGTTCCGTGATGCTTCTGCCTTGATGATAATGAACTGAATCTCTGAACCTGTAAGCCAGCCTCAATTATTCAGTAATTGCCCAAGCAATCAGTAGAACGTAGCAGCTTTGGCCATGTGGCTCTGGATTTAGAGTCAAGAATATAAGAAATTACTGAGACAACTGATGCTGTTTAGCTGGAGTTTAGAAATTAGTGGTATTTAAGAAGAGAGCAGCATGACTGAGGTGAAATTTTCTGGGAAGTGTTTTGTGATATCACAAAGAAGCTGTGTTCCAGAGATAGCCAAAGTTGTACCTCATGCTACAGCTGGACTTGGTAATGTATAAGAATCTCCCAGGTGGTACTGGTTTTGAACATATGAAGGAGCCACAGAGAGAAGCTGAGGCTTGGCACTGTGAAAGGGTAGGAAAGTCCATTGGTGAAAGTGCAGCCTCAGTTGGAGTTGATGGCCCAGAACTGGAGGGATCATACAAAAAAGTTGAGGTTTGGCACCATGAAGAGAGCAAATGAGAGGGTATTGGTGAAGCCTAGTTATAGAAGAAGATCCTACTGGATATGTCAGTATCGCGGGATGACCACTAAGAATAGCACCAGCAGTGGAGTAGAGTTAAACAGAGCCTAGAGTGCTATAGAGGGCAGGGCTGGAAAAGTGGTGTAAACCCTTTGGAGGAGCCCAGAACATCTTGTGTGGATCCCAGACACTGGAATAAGAAGCTATGTAGTTGAAGTTGACTTGGAGACCCCAACCTGTTAACAATGCAAGAGCTGTGGAATACCTGCCTAGGAAAGCTACTAACAGGGAGTGAAACCATCCCAGGAGAAAGAAGTTTGTTGCAGTCAGAAAAGATGAAAAAGGTGTTGGAGATCTGAAGACTGCTTTGACATCAGACATGGAAATGCAGAATTTAGAGTTTGCCCAGCTGATTTTTGCTTTGGAGATTACAGTTAAGTGATTGCATAAATCTCAGAAGAGACTTTGAACTTTAGGACTTTTAACATTATTGAGACTGCTATGGACTATGAGGACTTCTGAAACTGGACTACATGTATTTGCATTATGCTATGTTTAGGTATGTATGAAAAAGCCTTTGGGGGCCAGAGAGTCGAATGTGGTGGTTTGAATATGTTTGACTCAGGGAGTTGCACTATTTGGAGACGTGGCCTTGTTGGAGTAGGTGTGTCACTGTGAATGTGGGCTTAAGACTCTGTCCTAGCTATCTGGAAGCCAGTCTTCTCCTGTTTGCCCTCAGAACAAGATGTTGAACTCTCAGCTCCTTCTGTGCCATGCCTGCCTGGTTGCTATGATGCTCTTCCTTGATGATAATGGACTGAACTTCTGAACCTGTAAGCCAGCCCTGATTAAATGTTTACCTTATAAGTGTTGCCTTGGTCATGATGTCTATTCACAGCAGTGAGACTCTAAGACAGAAGGTCTAACCATTTATAACTAAGTAGTAATGCAGTTAGAATCTGAAATGCTCCAAATCTGTTTAATAAGTTTAAGTCTTCTGAGCTCATATATTTTGGGTAAAGGAATTCAGTTTGTATTTCTAAGAATTTAGGTCATGCTCTTTTTTGAAATACACTTATGGTAGTAGAAATTGAAGTATTAAGAACAGAGTATTAGGCACACCTTTTTCTTCAGAATGTAAAATCCATTACAACATTATCAATGAACCACTTATTAAAATATTTTTTTGCTTATTATTATTTTAGCAAAATATAAAACTAATTAAAAACTTTTTATTCTTCACTTTTCCTTCATCTGGAGTCATTGAATCACTCAGTGAGTGATTTGTCCCCATGTATATTCAACTGGTTGCTTTATGCTGAGAATCATTTTCCTGTGTTTGAAGTTTTAGCAACTGTACTGCAGTCTGTGGAAAATGTTTCTCCTGTTATAGTTGGAAAATTGGGATGTAATCAAATCTCTTCCCTCAAAGCTCAGGAAACCCTGTGGAGGAAGAGATCAAAAGAGTGTAAGAGCTAACCAGAGGGTATAGAAAGCACCAGAAGAATAAGGCCCTCTTAATCATCTGAACAAAGTTTCTATTAACTCAGAGACCAGGGCAGCCAACTCAGGGCCTCCAAGACTCTGTACCAGGTCCTCTGTGTATATATTATAGCTTAAAGCTTAGTGTTTTTAAGGGACTCCTGAATGTGTGAACTACTGGGCCCCTGACTCTTTTGTCCTCTCATGGAATCTTTTCTTTCTGTTGTTTTGCCTTGTCCAACTTCAATGCTATAAATTTTGTTTTAACTAATTTTATTCTGTTATATTTAAAAAATAAAAAAGAAATAAATAAATGAAAACCTAGCCATCAGGGTAAAGAGTAACAACTTCCATTTATGTATGCCAGGAGAGGGGAACTCAGTTTTCTTTAATAGAGTGATGCTGAGTATATTAACCATTTGAGGACAGGCCTTATGTTCAGCAGTACTTGACCACCACAGCTTTTTTGTTTGTGTTTTGTATATGTGTGTGTGTGTGTATGTGATGCATACACTGTTATATAGTTTCAGTTTGAGATGGTTTTTGTTTTGTTTTCTTTGTCTTGGAGAGTTTGTTGTATTGGATTTTTGTTTTTGAGAAAGAACTCAAAGGTGGGTAGATAAGGAATGTGAAGAATATGATAAAAATACATTTAAATTTAAAAATTATTTAAGTAGTAAATAATAAAAAAGAAAGGAAAACAGAATGCAAAATTTTGAAGCTATTCCATTGAAGTTCTAGTCAAGAATGTGATTTCTTCTGTGAACTTTGCTTGTATCTTGAGTCTCTCAACTTTTTTCCTGGAGAAGGATGCATTGCTGTGTAATTCCTTATTTCAAAGAGGTTTCTGGAGGATCGATTAGAAAGAATGTGTTTTGAAAGTGAACTCTGTGAACTACAAGTTAGCTTTTCGAAAACTTCATAATACAGTTCATTCACTTATTGCTTTTGTTGGTTCCTGAATGAACCAACTTTATTATGCACCCCAAGTTTGGACTCTGCACTCTGAACATGTCACAGCATCACCAGGGTTTGATAACTTGAAGTTTTTGACACAATAATGTCTGCTTAAAAAAAGAGGGATCTTGATCTTGTTCATTCAGGCAGAACTTCCATGCTGTGTTGTACTGTGCTTGCCCTTGCGTATCAATGTGTGCATTCCATAGCCAGTCAGTATGCTTTCTCAGGGGAAGAGCACAGAACGCTGTGTAAGAGGTCTACTTTGGAAAACATTCTAGCTTTTATGTTTTGTTATATATTTTAGATAGATAGATAGATAGATAGATAGATAGATAGATAGATAGATAGATCATTATCTAAAGGGTATGTTTATTATGGCTTAAAAGTTATAAGAAATGCAATACTGATAAATACTTCAGAGCTCGGGAGACTATGGTAATCAGAAATAGTTAAAAGAGACTTATGAGAAAGTATGATGACAAGGATGCACACAATTAGTTAAAGCAGTGACTAACTTTATACTGTTGGAGGAAGTCTGCACAGTAACAGTTGCTTGTGGATCTTTGCAGCTGTCTGTGGTCTACCAGTTTTAGTCATAGTAATGAAACATTCTAAAGCCAATGTTAATTTGTTTTTATTCTTGGCTGTTTGCTATAAATAGGACACTGTATTCTGAATTTTATATTTTTAAAAAAATCATTCTAAGTTTCTAGAATCCAGTTCTGTTATTTGGAATTTACATTTCTAATGAAATAAGGAAATGTTCAAATATCATAAATACATTTTGAAACATTACTATAAACTAGAAAAGAACACTCATTAAAAATGGATACATGCCCAAGGTAAGCTTTATGCTTATACAAATAAATTCCTCATAAATCAGTTTGCTTACCCCATATACAAGTTCTCCTACCATCCCATTCCAGATTTTAGTGTCTGCATCTCTTGCTCCATATTTTCCATCAGGGACAATGGCAATTTTATATTTGATACCAATATGTTTCGCAATTTCAGATGCCAAGTCTACACAGTAGCCTTCGTACTTGTCATTTCCTTCAAACATTTCATGATTTTTCTTGTACATAACATAGGGGGATTCCTACAATGAGAGAAGCAGAACTGTAAAGGAGAAATTACAAAGCATTCAGAAAATCTTTCTGTAATTTCATAGTTTTAAGATTTTTGACAAAGAATGTATTTATTCCTGTTATGCATATGATTTTGTATGGCTAGACATTATTAATGAGATAGGTGAATATATAAATATACTTAGAATTGGATTAAACTGGTTTACATTGGATAATAAAAGTAAAATTTTAAAATTTTGAGTTATTGAGTTATACCTAGTATTGGGATTTTGAAACAAAGAATCCATTAGTGATTTTCTAGAGAAGCATATTTAATTATTTTTAGCCTTAAAACTGATATTTCAAAATTAATTTCCAAAGTTTTAATGAAATTAAAAATTATTTAGTGGCCACCATAGTGTATTAAAAACTTATTCACAGTCATATGATTTCATATTCTGTATTTTCTTTTTTTCGTTTTCAAGTGTGTTCAATAAGGTGTTTACTCAGAGAGGGCATTTGCTTCACAGTTCTATCAAGAAAAATATAATAGCTTGAAAACACAAATAATTAATTACTTGTGTTAAATTCATTTTGCTTCTGCTGTTTCATATTTTGACTTTAAATAAGACATATTTCCCTCCAATTGTAAGCTTATTAAAAGATAGGTCTCTAGAGGAAGCTATTTCTCTCTGCATGTAAGGAACATCCACTATGATATTCCTGTTTAGTTTTCTATAAAAATGAGTCATAGATTGGGAGGAAGAAGTATTAAGAGGATCTTTATCATATAGAATAGCTTCCTGGTGTTTAATGACTGCTAAACTGTTTTTGTTGAACACAGACACACACACACACACACACACACACACACACACACATGTATACTCTCTGACACACATTTAAATAACAGTGTTTTAAGGCTTTAATTTAGGCATTGATTTAGTTAGTCCCTCAATGATTGACCTATTAGCACCTATTTGTAAGCAATAAGACAGGTTTGATAGGTTTGTAGTTCTCAATATAGAGGGAACTTCTGGCCATACTACAATGCTTCATCTTCAGAAAAGTAGTAACCATATTGACCACAACAGGGCTGTTGTAATGTCTTTATATCTTATGTAAATTATACTCTAATCTTAATTTAGGATTGTCCTAAGACATTTTTTCCAGAAAAAAAATGAGAGTTAAAGTATTTAAATGTGTGTTTGGACCTCTATAGTAGAAGACAGTTTGAACCACGGAGTGTCCAATGGGCCCATGGTAACTCTGACTTTATTTTAATAATTTCGTAAACATAGAAATCAATGCTGGCAGCCAAAGTATATGGCTTGAAATCGAAAATAGACCACAGATAGAGTTATTAAATTGTCCGGCTGGCAAGCTAAGGATTGGTAAAATTCTGCACAGAGCCTTACCAACCCAAGACAGAAGTGCATTGCCTTTGATAATGCGTATTCCATAATGTGTAAGGAAGGCATTCTTGCTAGAATGACCTAAGACAGGCTCAGTCTTGTTTATGAAATAAAAAAGTGGGAGAGGCTGACAGCTTTTGGGGCTGCTTGGCAAGAATCTGACATGTACCAAGGACAAGAAAATGGGCTGCTTAGCAGGAATATGACATAGGCCAAGAACAAGGAAATGGACTGAAGGCAGGAATCTGACATTAGGCTAGAACAAAGAAGTAATTTCCGGCAGAAATCTAAATCTTTTTCAGGCAGGAAGTTAAATCTTAGGCTAGAACAAAGAAGTAATTTCAGGCAGGAATCTAAATATTAGGCTAGAACAAAGAAGTAATTTCAGGCAGGAATTTAAATCTTAGGCTAGAACAAGAAAGTAAGCTTCAGACATGAAAATGACTTTGGGCTAAGCCGGAGGAGTAGGCTCAGATATTTTGGTCATCTTGATAAACCCCTAGAAACAATGATCATGAAAGTGTTCACAGAATTTGGTTTATTGCCTTGCTTGCTCTTTGACTATTTGTGTTTATTGTCTTGCTTGTTCCTTGACTATTTGTCTATTGTAGTGTTAGTTCCTCAATCTTGAACTGATCTTAATAGTTGCATGAAACTAAAATAGTATAAAAGCAAAAAGAAGGAGGGGGGATAAAATATGGAGTTTCTGGGGGGGGGGGAAATGGGGAAGGGGATGACATCTGAAGTGTAAGTAAATAAAAAAAGTTAAAAAATAAGGAAAAAAAGAAATGAGGGATTAAAAATGGAGAAAGTTAAATGAAGACATTAGATGGTGAAAAACAAAGTTCAGTATTTTGTTTTTACAAAAAAAGGTTATATTTTCTCATGGAGATCCTTCATATGATTTTTACAGGGGAAGACAAATCAAAGCAAGTCAGTATATTATTTTCTTATATTCTACCTTTGATTGTCATAGCCAAGTGAAACAGATCACTTTTGACATTGAGAAGCTATTGAACACTAGAATGACTTAAGAAGTAAATTTTGCCATTTGTAGAATTAAGATAACTGTCTCTTCTTTTATGAAGATTATCATTATCCTACAGGAAGAGGGTATGAAAGCTTAACATGATTTTTAAACTATGAATGTGATCATATAGCTTCATGAGCAGCTAGCTGCAAAGGGATGACTTTTTAAACTATAAAATACTAGAAGCTATTATGAACATTTTCTCATCTCTTTAGAGTAGCTTATTTACATTTCAGAAAATAGCAAAAGTGACATTTGTAAAGCAAAGTGTAAAATATTTTTATTGATATACTGATACAGTTATAGTATTCAAGTAAAACAAGCTAGACTAGTACTCTCATTTGGTACTAAGGTTGAGGGTCAAGTATAAAATGTCTTGAGTACTTAAATTTAGGAATTGACCCCACAATTTAGCACATTACTACATTAATTTTGTGTGAGTTTCTTTGGCTTGCCCATAATCTACTCAATTCTTCTAATATCGGAATCATTTGCTTAATGAAAAGCGGTAAGCTCATTATTTGATCAAGCATTTACTAAGTACCTGCTTTGTGTCAGGCAATTTACTTGAAGAGAGGCATAAAGAAGAAAATCGGTCAGTTGTATCCTTCTAAAGGAATAGTAGTGGGACCAACAATACTATATTTAATGTAAAAAGTAATTTCTCTTCCTGACTTTGTGCTTCCTTTGTGCCAGGTACAATATAATGAGTTCTTGAGTTGTATACTTTCATTTACATTTTGTGTTGCACCTTGAAGTAAGCATGTGTCATATTATAGAAAAGAAAGCTGAGAATCTTGGAGGTTAAGTGAATTCATCAATGTCACTTTTTTAAAAAAGTGACAGAATCAGGCTTTTATTTTTGAAACATGTGGAACATTTGGAAACTCTTGCAGTTGTTATATCCATTAAGAGTCTTGAAAATAACTGGGATTACATATGATCTCACAAGAGAAGTAAAATAAAATAGTTATATTTTTGACCACCAGCCAATGAAATTTTTACAAGATTTTAAGCTAGTGGCAGAGATAAAAATTTTCTTTTCTATCAATGGTGTCTGACACACAGTGGACTCACAGTGACAGCAATCATATCCTGATCAGTACTATCTGATTAGGACCATTGTGGTTGAGTAGTAATGTTACAATATGATTCAGATCTTCAAAAGAAAGTAAATATTGACCTCTAGGAATCAGGTTAGCTGTCTGAAGCAGGCGTGGGTTTGTAAGAGTAAAATATTTATTTAGTATCCTTTTTCATTTTTTCCCTGTTTTTCTTCTGGACAGATGGTCCCCCTAAGTCTTGGTTTTCCTGCCAAACATGCCAATTAAGATTGGAAAAATGTTCAAGGTACTGAAGATTCTGTTTAACAATTACTCAGATGACATTCAGGCTAAGTGATGCATATAGCTCAAGAAGAGCAAAGGGGCAGGGAGAGCAAAGGTAGAGGAAGGCTCCAGAAATTATCTTTTCTTTCTTTCTTTTTTCTTTTTATAAAGCTCTAGCAGATTACTGAGAGTGTTTCCTTTTGGTTTTCATTCATGTCAAATCCATGTGGGTCACAAGTCATTAGTTCTCATCCTCCTTTGCTTTATCTCCCATCTAACAAATTATCTGCAGTTAGTTCTTAAAACCTTGCACACTGTGGAGTGCTTAACATCAAGTTTTAGGGTTACTATGTGTAAATAAAATACCAAATCCCATTGATGCAGTAGAAAATAGATCTATGAGGTTACAGTGGTGGAGGAATTTGTAAAATAATTTTGTGAAGTAGCTATGCAGAATCATCAGTGTTCATCTGTGATTAACAGTGGAACATCAGAAGAGAGAGAGATAACCCCTTACTTATTTATCATCAACTACTGTATTCTTCAGGATGGTAATGCCAAGGAAGTGATTTTGCTTGCATTACTACTTAGCAACAATGAGTTTATTAAGATAATTCCTGTGATGGATGCTATCCTACACCTTCTGGGTTACTTCAGGAAGGAAATAAATCACAGTCTGAAGCTGTAGCCCTAGGCCCTGTTCATAAAAATGGTACCATAAATGAATTAAAATGATTTTTAACCTTAATTAAATTGAACCTAATATAATCAATAGAATATATTTTTCCCACTAAAGGGTTGTTATTGTATCATTTGAATTTAGCAAAGTCAAAATTGTTGAAACAATGTACTTTGCACAAAAACTGCCAGTTTATAAATATCAACATTACAACCATTATAAATAGATTGAAAATGGAAAAAATAGTAAAATTGGAATCTTATCTCATGTTTCCTGTGTGGATACCTGTTTCTTTCCAAAAAATTTTAATGGAGGTTGATAACGTAGTCCAATGAGAATAATTACAGAAAGTGGAAATGAACTTCTTATTATTCAATATAGGAAAAAATGAGTTGGCTGGACTTTGATGACACATGCCTTTAATCCCAGCACTCAGGAGGCAAGCAGAGACAGGCAGGTTTCTGTAAGTTTAAGACTAGCCTGGTCTACAGAGTGAATTTTAGGACAGCCAGGGCTACACAGAGAAACCTTACCTTGAAAAACCAAATGACAAAAACCACACATACACACACACACACACGCACACGCACACACACACACACACACACACACACACACACCCCTACACCCCACACACAAAAAGAAATAAAGAAAAAATTAAGGGTCTCATATTCAAGCTAAAACATTTTTGTTGTTTTTAAACAAACTTTGTTGCTACAAGCCTTTTAGAGGAAGGAAAAATTAATATTTGGTATGGCAAACAGTGAGTTTATTTTTATTTTTGATGTGCATTTTACATCGGCAAACACGTGTTATGAATGGATGCTTCTTGTACATGTGCATGTATATAGTATATCTAAAACATTTATGTAACTACAATAATTAAAAAACATATGTTAAAGTTGTAAAAAAATAAACTAAGGAATGACAGAGTGATTATATAAAATTACTTCATATTTGAAGCTCAGTTCTGATGCCAAAGTGAATAAACTTGGCTTTATGGAAAAGAATTTCCTAAAGAATTATATATATACTTAAAATGATATAAAATATCACCTTAGCTAAGTAATATATGATAGGTGTTACTAACTTGTAGAACAAGGCACTGAATTGAAAAGCACATTCTCCCTAGAATAAGTTCACTTTCTGGAGAATTCTATAACCAAAGGAGGTACTGAGATTACAGGGGAAGTACTATCTCTTCTTCTTGAGTCTGCAGTGAGCCATCTTTACTACAACAGCCGTATTTTTTGTATTTGTGTGCCCTAATAGATTTGACTTCCTAAATTTGTTTGCAGTTGTTAATTTGTATGTAGAAAACGGAATCTCTATGTCCACAGTCTCACAAATATTATGGATTTTACTTATTCTAAGTCAGTAATCATTAAAGATAAAAGTTTGTGTAAATGGCAATTGTTTTCTATTTAGATTAGCTTTGCCATACTCAGTATGTTTTGTATAGTTGTGTTCAAGTACAGTAAAGTCATCTTGATATTGAAAATGCAGTGTACATGTACAACAATTCCAAGGAAAAATACATTTCAGCAGTCTACAAAATAATAATACCATGTTTTATTTCAGACTGAGAGCTCTTGTAGTCATGAAATATGTTTCTTATTTGTTTTTCTATGATATAACCTCCCAAGAGTGCAGGAGTCATCTATGTCATAGTCCAGGGTCTATCCCTGTGCCTGGCACATAACAGACACTCAGTAAGTATTTATGAATGAATGACTGAATTTCTCAAACAATTTTATTTAACAATAACATATATTACAACAGTATATCAGCATATTATCACAGCATACAAAGGGAAGACAAAGTAAATTCAGCAACACTATACCCATTTAGACGAGAAGTCCGTGATCTCCAGTTCTCATTCTTAGCTTGCTCAGTATCTAGAGCTCTGTATCAGACTCAATGCAACATCTAGCCAACTCCATCTGTATTGAATTTTTTTCAATTGAATATGGTGGGATTATTACATGCAGTTATCAGTATCTTATCAGCTAAAGGTAATCATACTTCTTTCAAAGTAGTGGAGGTGAAGGGATTGTCCTAGATTCTAAACTAATGTTTTCAACAAAATCAAGTTCAATGAACACTTTAAGGGAGGGTGCTCTAGGGTTTTTGTTTTGTTTTGGCATTATGGAACAGGTATGCAGTAGAAAATATCAAGAAGATGATTTCAATGAAGATGATAGTTATATGACAGACAGATACTACTCATTTTCACTATTTGATAAGAAAAATATTGACGTCATCACTGTCAAGCAAACAGAATTTTATAAATATATACACACACATATATTAATGAAATAACTTCTTTTCAGTCACCTTTTTACTTGTTTTTTTGATATCATGCTTCTTGAAGAGTAGCCATGCTTAGAAAATCAATTTAGTAATTGGATACTAAGAATTATAAATCCCAACATTCATAGCAGGCTAAGGGATGAAGACTCCACATTATACCCTTAAAATATATAAGACATTCATTTCACAAAACAGGCAACATTTTAAATATTCTAAAACAAACAATTGTATATTATTTAGAAAGCAAACACAGAATTTAGAGTTTTACTTAGAAGAAATCTACCCTTATAGAGCCAATCATATACAACAACTTCATTTTATGACATGGGAATGAGCATATCAGAATCACTACTTTATTCTTTTTCAACATCCAATTTCTTGAGAAAGATAAGGACTGAAGATTAATTCTTATTTTTTTCTAATATCTCACAAAAGTCACACATAGACATATATTTTAAAAAATGTTTTCTAGTAGTCCAGGTTTGGTTATCCAAGAAGAATCCCACATGAATAACAAACTTAAATTTAATACTCAGAAGAACAAGACTCGAGTCTTAGTTAGGAATGGTCGAACAGCGCAGAACTCTTGTCTTTCTTGGTCAATTTCTTAAAATAGGATTCTTCATCAGAGGCTGTAAAGAGGAGGACTGTACTGAAGTATGAATTTCCATTACTGTGTCTTTTTTTTTAAGGAAAAGAAATATATATGCATATATATCCTGCCTTTCAAATCCCATGCAAATATTACATAATTAAGTCAGAAAGTTTATACAAACACTTCTGTTGGTGAGTTTGCATTCTAAAATAATCAACTTCTAATCAGGGCTTGTCAAGTTACATTAAATTGCTAACTGGTTATTCAGCAAAGACATAACATATTACAATAGACAGATATTTCTCTTTGGTATTTTTGTACTTTGATTTCAGGGTCAGTTTTAGAAATATCTTGACATTACTAAGCCCCTAAAACTAGAAATTAAAATTATGTAAGCTAAAAGTTAATTTACACAAACTCTTCCACTTTATTTAAAGTAAGAGTTTCTATGAGTAATTGTTAATATATTTTGCCTACAGAAAGAGTTAGCTGAGACTCGATGATCTTAAATGAGATATAAAGGTCACCGATTGTTGATCTCCTTTGAGTACCACCAATTGTAAAGGACATGTTTGTCATATATATATATATTTATATATTTTTTTATTTATATTTAAAATTTTTATCTTATAGAAAGAATTCTATGAAAACCTCCTTGAAATAGGAGTCTTAAAATTTAGAGCATTTTAAATTTTGTGGAATGGTCAAGTGAAAAAAATCACATTTTTTTTTTTGATTTCCTAGCAGTCCATTAAATTACGTATGTATTTCCTACTGGTCATGAGAAAAATAATCGGTGGGTGGAAATTTTTTTTTACATTAAAAATAAATATCAAACAAAATCAATTTATCAGGGACTCAGTTATAAAAGAAAGTACTCATTGAAATCTCCACATTCACATTCTTGTGATTAGAAACAGACAAACCAGATCACTCTCCCATGATAACCTGGAATAGCCATTTAAGCGCCATTAATGATTATTTCGTTGATGCTTTTGAAAACACTGAGAACATGGCATTTCCACCTGCTGGTTTTAGGGTTCGATTGGTGCTTGACTTCCTCACTTTGCTTGTTCAGTGTTGGGGTCTTAGAATTTCAAACATTTCCGACTTCAGTTTCACAGTCTCAATTTTTAATGTCTGAGTCAATTTCTTTCCCCAACAAAAGCATTGCAACAGAAAATAACGCAAATAAGGGCAATGAAAAAGCTGAGTGTGTCCAAGCTTGGGACAGATCTATTCAAAGCTTCAATAGACTTGAGGGGTCAGAGCACTCATGTCACAACTAAGCTTCAGCCTGTAACTCCTCTGTTCATCACAGCCAGAGAGTTAAATTTGCCTGTGGACAAGACGGAACACTATAAAGCATACACCAAAACTCACCATAATTGTGGTTACAACCACTGTTCTGTTCTCGATAGCTGCTGTGTCATTGCCAAGAGTAGGCACATCTTGTATCAAGACTAATTTATCCATATCATTCCAGTAGCCAACCTGCCAGACAGAGAAGCTAATTGAAAACACACTTTAGACATTCTCACTGGAGTCCTCCTTGCAACAGTCACTGCTACAATTAGGAGAGTGTCGAAAACAAACTTAAAACATAGACACATTAAAAACTGTCTTTTAAAAATTCATAACTTTACGTTTTTGAGAATTTAGAAGAGGAGCATTATATGTACATTACCGCTGACATTCCCTCTCTCCACAGACTCCTTTAGGGGGTCTCAAAAATTCATGATCCCTTCCTTAGTTATTATTGTGGCACACACACACACACACACACACACACACACACACACACACACACATAGACAACCTGCTGATTCTTTTTAGTTTTGCTCATATGTACACAGATCCAAGGCTAACAACTTGGGACTGGAAAACCTGTATGGGAGCTCATTTCTGGAGGAAACTGATTCTCCTTTGCTCAGCAAGTAGTGACCACCCGAATCTCTTCATTTAAGGGTGGGCTAAATGCCTCTTCCCCTGTCCATGTCGGCATGACAACTGGTGCTGTCATTATGCTGGTCTTGTTCAGGCAACCCTATTGCTGAGAGTTTGTGGGTATAGCGTTCCTGTTAAATGAGGAAGACATAGTCTCACAGCAGGTATCTTTATCCTTTGGTACTTAAAATCTTTCTGTTCCTTCTTTCTGATATCCCCAGAGCCCTAGGAGTAATGGTTGCACTGTAGAACTTTAAGTTAAAACTGATGTGATGTTGAGCCAGTTTTCTTATATGTTTTTACCAAATTCACAGTCATGAAACAGTCATAGGAAGCAGTGATCTGAATGAAAGAGTCACAGATGGAACGTCAGGCATGTTGATCTTCTCATCTGCAGACACAGGCTAGCATTGCCTAAAATTAATTTATACAATTTCATCAAGAAAAATACATATCACACACTAAAGTTAGCACCCATATTGCAAGCAAAAAAGTTTATATTTGTAAACAGTAATCTATAAATATGTTTTTGTCTTGATATTATATAACTACCACATGACAATTTATTTTCTGGAATGTTAACTGCATCACAGATGGATATTAATGTGCAATATTTTCATTTGCAAAGCTTACATTTTAACTTGTTCTTTGACTTTAAATATCATATTATTTGAGGCTACAGAAATGGCTCTGTGGGCAAGACTTCTGGCTAAGCAAGTGTGAGGACCTAAATTCAGATTCCTAGCACTCATGTAAAAGGCATTGTACGGCTGTGTATGTGATGGTAACCCTGCTGTAGGAGAAGAGTGAGAAAGGAGGATTTCTGGGGATTCTTAGCTATTGATTTATTTAGCTCCAGGTTTGGAGAAAGACTTGTCTAAAGGGAATGAGTGGGGAATGAGAGTAGAACACCCAAGGTCTTTATTACCTGTCCATGTTGGTGTGCACACATCACAGACATCCACACCCTAGCAGTTCATGTTATTTTCTCATTTGTAAATCAAATACTTCTACATAAAATAAATCAAGAAGTGAGTGCCTTAGAAGTACTATGACAATGGAATATTACTGGAAATTGGGGATGCACCAATTGACTTCTACCATTGGAGGATACTGATGGCTACTATGTACACAATGCTACCGTTCTTGGGCACATCTCTTTGTGCTGTGTTATTCTATGCCTGCTAAAGTTTGTATGCACAGTGCTATTGAGACTGTTGCTGTTATTGTGCATGTTTTTGATAAGAAGATCCTTTTCAGAAGTGAAACAAATTGTCCATGATTGCCATCCAGTAGGGTGAGAATTTAGAACTGAAATGTCAGGAGCCATCATAGGACAAGCAAATAACTAGCAGGTAATCTTCCTGAAATGACTTGACTTTAGATTATATTTATGACGAAGCACCAATAGGCAAGTCCCAGGAATAAATCATTTTAGGAAAGATTCCTGCTATTAATATGCTTTTCCAGTTATTATTAAACATATATAACAATCACTAAGTATTAGCCCACACCTTTTCAGCAGATCTCTGCAGATGTACTACTGTTTTGTAGTGATGCTATATAGACAAATGATGACTTCTTAATTCTTAATGATGATCCTATCAGAATCCCTAAAATTATATCAGTGATTGGTAAGCTCTTTTACAGTGAGACTGCTATTAGGTCCTTTTCTGATAGTCAAAACTGCAATGAGAACTCTGTCAGTCTCCCAAGTGTCACCAGTTACTTGCCTCTTAAATAGTAACTGGACTTTTTACTATTCAGAGCACATTCCAAGAGGTTGTAAAACTATTAACAAAACATCATAAAAAGGGAACTAACGACTTATTATAGGTACTAGGACAGAAGATAAAATATTGACTGGGTTTATCTTTACAAAACTTTACTAATAACTTAGTTATGGTTTTAAACTTTCAGTGAACCTGTGGAGCTGAGACAGGTGATGGGTGTTTTGTCAGACAATTACCCCTAATGGATATGCATGTAACCATTCTCTGTTGTAAACTTCTGTTTCAATTTATGATTTGACTTTATGTGTGAACTTGTGATGAACTTTGTAACATGTGATCATGTATTTTGAAAGATGTATAAGTACTGAGGACAAAGAGATGAGAGAAATATTTTTCTCTAGCCCTCTTAGGAACTTTCCTCTTTCCCCCATTTTCTTAAATAGCTTTCACAGGAAACTTTAAAAAACTTAGTAATAAACACTATAATCACATTTCAAAGTGCTGCATTTTCTTTCTGTGACTTCTGACTAGCATTCTGAAAGCTAGAGCCTTGAAGTTCCTGCAGAGATAGAACATAGGCTATTTTACTTAATCCCTTGCTGTTTTAGGATGAGGTGCTAAGTTGCAGAGACTGCAGTTTTCTGGCCTCAGAGGAACACAGAAGGCAGGTCAGACACAGTAGCTTTTTTAAGCTTTTTAAATAACTTAAGCAAAGTAACTTAGATGAGTCAACTTTTAATTATTATACAGTAACCCTAAATATCTTGTAAGACAAAAGTCTTATGGTCCAACAACATTCTTCCCCCTCTGATGCCTCAAGAAACACTGACAAGAAAGAAGACCCTGCCAGGGCTGGTCCTCAGCACTGAAGCCTGTATGATACCAACTCCGTACCTTTTTGCTTGTATGTTGAATGGCTTCCAAAAGTGAGTGCTCATTTAATGTTTGCTAGGCTTTATTAATAATGTTCATAAATCTCAGATCCCCAGTGAAAATTTGTGTATTGTTTATGTATTTGTATTCAATATTTGATCTACTGTGGCCTATAGGGATTTCTTGCTCTGTCAGGTATCTTACCTCCTATATTAATATTTAAGAGGATAGTCAAACAAAGAATTAATATTGTCAAAGAGAGGTAATTATTCACTAGTGATACATCCATAACTCAAAAAGAATAGGTAAAGCAATAATTTCAATTCAAAATTATAGTACATATAAATTCTAGATGATTTCAATTTTCCATGTACATTCATTTTTAGAGGACATGTCATAAGAATTAAATGTGGGAACAAATATTAGTTTTCCATGATAGTACCCAGTATATAACCTAATAATCAATAAATAAACATTTAACATTATGATTTCATGAACCTATGCAATCGTAGCTCTGGAGCACAGCCTCTGGAGCCTGGGGTGCTAAGCCCATGATAGGATGGTTCGAGTTATCTAGGGTGGGTCTGGTTCTGAAAACCTCAGGCTTTGTCATAATGAGATGCTGAATCAGGGTCTGGGTATGGAAGCCAGACAAGTGATTGGTTGCCTCTCTGGTCTATATTCAAAGATGCTCCTTACTGGCAGGAGCTCAGTTTACAAGAGTGATTGCTCACTTGTCGGACACACTGCCTAGTCTTACCAGCCCAGTGTCTCTCATGCTAGCTAGCTTGTTTTTAAGTTTAATATTCCTGTCACAATGCCTAGCTGATTGCTGCTACTGGGAAACAAAGACAGATGAGTCTGCATCACTTCACACTTCATTTCTCTTTTAAGAATGTTGGATGCATGTCATCTGCATGTGAAGATGTTTGTTCATCCTTCCAATTTATTTTCTGCTTTCTCCTGAGAGTCCATAGTTCTTGATATCATTGTGGTTGAATAGGCCAAGATTCAGTACTATAAGTCGCCCCCCCCCGTTTCCTTTTCCTGTTCTTTTCATTTTTATTAAGAGCCTTTTGTTTAGTTGTCATCACTGTTTTGTAAGATAGAAGATCATCTTTTGCACTTTAAAAAGTTTCTGCTTAGTTGACCAGCTCTGCATGGTCAACCAGTTTGTTTCATAAAAGGAAGTTTGACTCTCCTCCATCTTCCTACACAGTTTTATTGGTCCATGGAATATTCTGTCAGCTCCATAGTCAGGTTGGCAATTTTTTTTAGGAGAGTGGAGCCCAGGTAATTCTTCTTGGGAGTTATGTCTCCTTCCTTTAGTCAATAAGCCTGCTAATGTGGCTCATGAGATGTCACCATATTCCCTCACTCCTTGATTTGAATTGGTTGACCCAAAACATCTTATGTATTAGCTGGAAGACTGCAGGCAAGGAGATGATACCTTGAGCCCTAGAAGCAAGAGTTGTGTTGTACAGCAGCACTACATTCTCTCTCCCTCTCTTCCTCTCTCTCTCTCTCTTCCTCCCTCTCTCTCTCTCCCCCTCCCTCCCCTCTCCTCTCATTCCCTCTCCCTCTTCCTCCTTCCCTCCCCCCTCTCTCTCACACACACATACACACACACACACACACATACACATAAACACACGCACAAACAAACACACACACAACTTCAGATGTATATTTATGTGATAGATGAGTGCAAAACATTGGGAAACTCATTGCTACTTCCATACATGCCCTGACTGGCCTGCTACCAAGACTTCACCAGCTTTAAATCTCACATCCTCTCCTCTCTATGGCCCACCTTGGTGATATTCCCCCCCACAATCTGTGTGTGATATATCTATATCTATCTATATCTATCTATATCTATCTATATCTATCTATATATATCTTGTCACATGCTTTTTTTTTAATGTTCAAATTGATTGCATATCCTAGCTTTCCTAAAACAAAATTCTTCAATCAGGGTTTGTTCAGGCACAGCATGGTATAGGGAGGTTCTAGGGTTAGACACATTTGAACAATTGTTTTCCTACAAGATTCATAACTATCCCTTATTAAAACATAATTTCTCATTTAAAAGAAATAAACATAGTAAAATTGAAGTTATAGGCTGGGTATAAAGATTGCATCATATAAAGCAACATGTCTGATGCTTGGGGCAGAGTAGAGCTTCCAAAAATTGTAGCTATAATATTAATCAAAATATTTCTCAAACAGGCAAATGTTAAAAAAATAAATTTTAGAAACTAACATTAACAACTCTTTTCTTGGCATCCTAGACAATCCTACAGGAAATTTAAAGTTAAGAATCCTAGGCATCATGTGCTATATAATGCTTAAAACCACTTACTGTTGTGAGACATAATGAGACAATATGTCTCCATTATATAAAGCTGAGCCCAGAATCTCTCTCTCCCTCCTTTTTTTTTTAACATAGATTCTTATCTATGCTTCCAAAGCTGGGATCAATTGCATGTATCATGCCTGGCTTTACTCAGCTTCTTGAGGAGTGGCTTACTAGTATAGGTGAACACAGGAGTTAAAAAAAAAACAGCACAAACAATAAGTTTCTGATTCTCCAATGATAACCACAATGTATAGCAAATTGAGGTTTTATTGGAAGCACCTGTTTATTTTGTATTATGTGACTTCACCACAGTTTTGATTTTGAAATACATAATATACTTTGTACTACAAACTGTAATACCATATGATACCAATGCATGCTCCATGAAAAACCTTGGCTCAAATTTAAGAATACTGTATGCTAGTCATTGAAGTACTTTTCCTATACATACAGAAGTCTTTGATTGTATGGAAATATAATGGCTTAATCAAATACTGCTTTTCTACCATTATTCCACAGCTTGTAGATATCAATTTAGAACATCTTTCTATTGTGTTAGAGTGATTTATTTATTTATATAAATAGATTTTAAGATAGGATTTTATGTCCGTAGACTGATTTCTAACTACTTGTGTCGAGGATGCTCTCTAACCCTGATGAAGTTCCCTCCCAAGTGCTAGGGTTACAGGCATGATCTACCATTCCTAGATAATACATGGATTGATTTTCAAGGTTTTTGATTAATCTGGTCATTGATTTTCACAAAGATTGTTGGATGAATTTTAGCCCAAGATTAGGATAAGATTTCCAACAATTTCCAAAATGCTTTAAAACATAGACACCATATTCTTGAAATATACTTCTGTAATTTTGTTCTTGATAGTTATGTGATCCAGTGTTCTTAGCAGTCACATGTACAAAATCAAAAGGTGTTATCACATTCAGACTAGATTTAATTTTTTTCATGTAAAAATAGTCCAGCACATCCATTTCTTTAGTACAGATAAATGATGAAATTATAGCTATACTAAAATTGTTCTAAGTATAATAAAGTTCTTTGTGAATTATAATCTGTAAATGTCTAATTTGTTTGTCTACTTTATATACCTGGATTCACATAAAAATGTTTCAGGCAAAATGTAGTCTTGAGAGGAAAAGTTTAGGCAACTCTGATGTAGACTACTTTGGGAATGCTAGAGAGACATATGATAAGAATCCTCACATCTGAGACCTCTAGAACTGTGTTTCTGTCATGGTTAAATTTAATTGTCAACCTGTTACATCTAGAAGCACTGGGGAAGAGACTCTCAATGAGGGATTGTCTAGACCAGGGTTATCTTAATTAATATGAGAACAGCCAGTTCTTTGAGGGCAGCTCTATTTCATAGTGAGGGGCTCTGAACTGTATAAGACTGGGGTAGTTGAGCTGAGCACACATGCAAGCAAAGAGTATCCATGTATTTGTCTTTCTTGACTGTGATTATCATGTGACCTGCTTCAAGTTCCTACCTGTACTTGAGGTCAGTGATAAACTGTAACAAGTAATTCTAAAAAGAAACCAACCCATTCTCCTTTAAGTGTCTTTTTGTCATGGTGTTTTGTTATAGTAACAGAAACAATGCTAAGATTCATTCTAAGTATAAAACTCTTGAGCTAGCACTTTCCTGAACTCAGGTGTTTCTCTCCTTCCTCAGCCCAGTAATTGTTGTCTTTATTTTATCTTCCATTTCCTTTCCTTTGCTCAATTTCATTTGCCTGATTAATTGGAGAACCAACAATCTGTTTAAAGTACATCTATTCTTTAGCAGGGTCTCTTTGCACTCTTTCTGATGATTCACAGATCATACATGGACATACTTACTGTATTGTGTTATTTTCTGTGGAGTGCATTTTGTTTCCTAAATTTGTTTGCCAAGCTCCCCTTGCCACATTGCTCCCATTGTGAGTTATAGGGTATAATGACAAATTAATTGTTTCATTTTGTCACATCATTAAAAATTATACATATATCATATCAAGAAAATACTAGGTATGAGTGTCACTTAAAATTAAGTTTAGAGTATCAAGCTTTTTTTCTCCTATAAGCCTTTAAGAGTGTCACATGAAAATAAGAAAAAAATTATTTTTCAGTTCAGTTGTAGCTCACCTTTCGAGGTCCTGTGCTTTTTAATTCAAACACATCCATTGTGTAATTAACTCTACGTCCATAGTGATCAAATTGAACATTTCCAGTCAGTCCTTGAATTCGAACCTGTGAAGAAAAAAGAAAACACACATATACTCATTAGGAGCTTCACTTAAGGAAAACCTGCTAGTCTAAGGACCATAAAAGGCTGTTAATTAAAAGTTACAATAAGCTCTCTGGAATGTCACTGGATGCTTGAGCTACTGAGATGGAGCCTTGAGAAAGCATATAAAGAATATTAAAAGTTATTTTGCTCTAGACCTAGAAGATGAATTTTTTTTACAATGTTTCATTTTAAATAGCACAATTCTTTCCCAATATTAAAATATCCTTTATAGAAGAGAAATTTATTTGCTTAGAGTCAATCTTTAATTTTTTTAAAATATCATCTCACAGCAGATTATATACCTAGGGTTCCTACAACAGATCATATTCTTCTGGCTAACACTGAGTTAACAGATGAAAAGCTAAAAATACATCATTTGAAGTATCCAAGCACATTGGATTCCAAATTACCTTTTGATTCCCATTCATTTTATTTATGCTTTGAATTCATCATATTTCAGGTAAATTAATAACTTTACCAAACACCAGTTATGTAAAATATATTGTTTGTTTGAGCATAAAAGAATAAAATTAGTCATTTAATCCAAAGTTAAAGATGCACCGAAGTAGTCCTTAGCTCTGCCAAACATTTCTCCTTCTTCCTTTGCAAGTTAGGTTTATATTCTCTTTACTCCTTGTGGATAATGACGGTAATGACCTTTCTGATGTAAGTTGTAGGCAGATATTAGAACCATTATTGAAATGAATAATTCAATTGTCATCCAAAAACTTTCCTACAACAACCTATTCATTCAAAATGGCAGCTGTTCTGCCAGGCCGGGTCCTTGAGTGATTTTATGGAACACTGGGCTCTTGCTAACCAAGTATGTCTACACTGAGCAACTTCATTGTTTTAGGCTTTTTTGGATTTGTTGTGCCATCTTGACTACACATCTATATAATGAATAACCATTGCAGTTCTAAACAAAATGTTTGACACTGTTAAATGCTTGATGTATTAGCATGGAAATCATAATAGACATTAACGCTCAAATGGATTAGTCTATTTTTAGCATACTATTCTTACAAAAGTTCATGAAATAAAGCAAAATTATGAGTTACCTGCTTCAGTGTTCTCTCCATATCAATTCCCTGGCCCCAGGGAGCAGCAGGGTTTGCCAGACAATCCCCTGCATTTCCTCTCCTTGAAATATCAATTTTCTGTCTTCTGAGACTTCGGAACGTTTCAGCCATCACCAGGACACCATCGTAGGTGAGAGCAGAGGTGTACTGATCAAGTTAAACGGTATAGAAAGGAAAAGTTAAAGTCTAGCACAATGAGACATCTTGGACCTCTTCAGGCTTATGACAAAAACTCCATCTTTCTCAAGAGCTAGCATGGTACTGATAATTAAATGATGATGGCTTTGGAAATGTCTTGTCTTGCTTTAACACAAAGACTGTATGGCACATCATATGGCTCTAATTTTAAAGGAGAAAACCCACTCTGAAAATAGAGACGCTGAAGGACAATTTTCTATTATCTGGAAGAAGAAAGGCCGCAGGTTGTGATTTTATGTTGTATTTCAGTATAAACAGGTAGAGGATTGATACTACAGGCTGTGTTATTACATCCTGCATTGGAGTAGCTTAGCTCCAGGAGGGCTATTCTTTTTTCTTTCTCACCAAATGCCTAACAGTGTTCTCAGAGATTTACTTTGCATTCATTGACTTGAAATATCTATGTTTATCCTCCCAGAGGAATTGTGTCATGTTGAGAAATGCAATGCTAAGGATATTTTATTCAACTTCAATAGACCTATCAATTGTACCTGTCATTCAATGAATGAGTTCAGTTTGATGAGTTAACTATTGCTCTAACTTTCCATTCGAGTATCAGTGTAGATATATAAAATATAAACCATCTGTGTACTGATGACCATCCATGTAACTCTTTGAGAAAAGAGTGAGTCCCCTGGGCAAGATTATTAGTGTAAAGTAGGATGTGAGGGAAGATGAATAGAAAAATGTGACTCTGGTAAATTTTGGCGATGTTTGATTAGAGACTTTCTAAACGCATGGGAGATAAGACATAGTACTCATCAACTACTAGTCATGACAATAACTGCATTATCTGCTTTAGGAATTCCATATAGTTAACACTTTTCACATCTTCATCAACGACAGGCTTATGCCATGTGAATCAGGGGTTAAAGTTTTTGTTTTTTGCCTGCAAATGAAGAAAATCCATTTAGAATTGTGAATGTAGAAACTAAACAGAAACAATATGATTAGTACAGGAAGAGAAAAACTAAAGCTGCATGAATTTCAGGAAAGCATTGTTGAGTAGTAGAGGAAATGAACATGAATCTTGTATTAAAAGGATGTATAAGAATCATTTAAAATAAGAGCATACAGGAAACAGTATCACAGAAATAAGCAAAGGCCTGTGCTCTCTTAGTTAGGATGGAGAAGCTGAAGGAAAAGAAGCAAATTGCTACCCTAAATATTAATGAGCTTTCTCTCTTGCTCTACCCAACATGTGTCTGAGTAGAAAAAGCCTCCAAAGTTTTCTTCTTCCAAGGCAAGACAATAAAAAGGAGAAATAAAGATGTCTCCCCAAAGACCTAAAGGACAAATGATAAAATGTACTGCTGGTGTGCCAGGATCACGAGATAAAAAAAAAAAGAAAAAAAAATGGGCCTTTTTTTCAAAGCAGGAAGAATGAAGCCAAGAGGAGATGGTAAAAAAGCAGACAAATTTACTTTCCTGTAGAAAAAGGAAATAGTGTTACACAGTGGGGTGCAGTGCAAAGCAAATAGCCAGCTGGAAAAGCAAAGGCCTGGAATTTAATAGGGCCCAAGAGCTGACAGAAGCTTGGAGTTTAAACTGGCTTTACCTTGTCAAAAACTCCAACTCTTTCTCATATGCCTTATTGTAGTACAGTGTAGCAAAAATTTTTATGGATACCCAGATTTCAGATGACATGTAAAAAATATATATTAAATAAACATTTCATTTGCGAGCAGCTTTAAAACTACCTCTTAGCCAGGAGTTATTTTCTGTCCTACCCATCAATCAGAATGAAGAGGTGAATTCTGCTTTTCAACATTTATAGGTAAAAAAGACAAATACAGGCAGAATCAGTGTTCAGTAGAGAAAATTGGACTTTGAAAGGAAAGAACTAAAATAAATTCAAGTTCTGTTACTTCTAGGTTTATAGAATATAAAATATATGTTACAGACAACAAAGCAGAAAAATAAAAAAAATATTTGTTTACTGCAGCAGTTGTGACGCTGACTATTCATTACTACCCGACAAGCTGGCTGCAAAACCCACTGGCTAAGAAATGTGAAATGTGAAGGTTGGTAGTGCGTGGTCCTTATAGGAGTTTACAGGAGCCAGATACTAAGTACACTAAGTCTTGGTTGAGAGTAGCAGAATCTAATATCATGGAAAGTATAAAGGAAGATAATGGAGAAGGTGAAACTTGAAGTGACCTTTGAAAAGGAAGTTGGAATAGATGAATAGTGCAGATAAAGGCAAAGGACTGTAGAGGTGACACCTACTCTTGGTGACTGACACCTATACTTGGTGACATTGACTAGAGAGGACAGTTCTGTTTAGCTGGGATATCAGAAAAGTAGCAAAGAATCATGAAATCAAAAGGACCTTTGTTCTCATATTTCATTATTAGTAGTAATTATTATTTCTTTTCCTGAAAGAAGGTGACAAGATCAGAGATCATGTGTTGATTCCTGGAATAAACATTAACGAACTAAAAGATGATTCAGTTAATTATACCCAACCCTCAACATTTATAGACTCTGGTTTTGAATTTCTTTACTTGATAAACATTTATTTGCAATCTCCAAATCAATACTTAATACTTTTGCAGGCACTTATAGGCATATACAGAGAAGTGGAACATTTGATTTAGCCAATATGCAAACTTCTAGCTCTAGTTAAATAAACACTACAATTTTTTGTTTCTGTTCTCATGATGTAAATAAGTACACTTTTTGTGGCTCAGTAGGTGCTGTTTTACCCAAATTTGTGCTTTTTTTTTTCCAGGATACTTTAGAGGCTAAAAGGGTCTAAACCATAGCATTGATTGCTGCCTAATGGTCATAATATGAGAAGACACTAGTGCTTCTGACAAATATGTGCATTAAGGAAATTCCCTTTGAAGAGTGACTATACGTCAATACTAAGGAAGAAAATGAAGTTAACTAAAATGAATAAAACAAAATATTGGTTAATTGACAGAAAGTCGGAACTAGAAGCTCTCAGAAAATAATCTTATATTTTTTTAAGAACAATGGCTTAATTTTTGTATCACTTATTACTTGAGTAAGGTTTTCAGAACATAATCACAAAATGTATATTAGATAGTAATATGTGACAGGAACTGAGGAACAGCCAGGGAAATGATCCTTCCAGTTTCTGTCTGCACCTCAGAGCTGACCCTGTGCCAAAGCTCTCCTCACCCCAATCCTGTCTAGAGAGAGCTGGTCTCTCAGAAGTATTGAATGCCTAAGATCACAGGTGAGACCACCACTTCTGCTCCAATACCTGGCCCAAGTGGGACTTTCCCAGAGCCCAGAGTTGTTCTCCCAGGAGTGCTAACACAAATAAGATCACAGGCCTACAGGCTCACAGGAGGGACAAGCTATAGTCAGAGACAGCAAGACCATCTAACACCAGAGAGATAACCAGATGGTGAGAGGCAAGCGCAAGAACATAAGCAACAGAAACCAAGGCTATTTGGTATCATCAGAACCCAGTTTTCCCACCACAAAAAGCCAAGGATATCCCAACATACCTGAAAAACAAGATTCTGATTTAAAATCACATCTTTTGATTAGGATAGAGGACTTTAAGAAGGACATAAATAACTCCATTAAAGAAATACAGGAGAACACAGGTAAACAGGTAGAAGTCCTTAAAGAGGAAAAACATAAATACCTTAAAGAAATATAGGAGAACACAACCAAACAGGTGAAGGAATTGAACAAAACCATCCAAGATCTAAAATAGGAAATAGAAACAATAAAGAAAGCACAAAGGGAGACAACCCTGGAGATAGAAAACCTAGGAAACAGATCAGGAGTCATAGATGTAAGCATCATCAACAGACTACAAGAGCTAGAAGAAATAATCTCAGGGGCAGAAGATACCATTAAAAACATTGACACAACAGCCCAAGAAAATGCAAAACACAAAAATCTCCAAGTCCAAAACATCCAGGAAATCCAGGATACAATGAGAAGACCAAACCTAAGGATAATAGATATAGAAGAGAGTGAAGATTACCAACTTGAAGGGCTAGTAAAGGTCTTCAAGAAAATTATAGAAGGAAACTTCCCTAACCTAAAGAAAGAGATGCCCATGCACATACAGGAAGCTTACAGAACTCCAAATAGATTGGACCAGAGAAGAAATTCCTCCTGTCACATAATAGTCAAAACATCTACTACAAAATCCTATACTCAACAAAACTGGAAAATCTGGATGAAATGGACAATTTTCTAGACAGATACCAGGTACCAAAGTAAAATCAGGAGCAGATAAATCATCTGCCATTCCATAACCCCTAAAAAAATAAAAATAGAAGTGGTCATTAAAAGTCTTCCAATCAAAAAAAAAAAAAAAGCGCAGGACGAGATGGTTTTAGTGCAGAATTCTATCAGACCTTCAAAGAAGACCTAATACCAATAATCTTCAAACTATTCCACAAAGTAGAAACCTAACGAACACTATCTAGTTTGTTCTATGAAGTCATAGTTACACTGATACCAAAAGCACACAATAAACAAAGAGAACTTCAGATCAATTTTCCTTATGAATATTGATGCAAAAATACTCAATAAAATTCTTGCAAACTGAATCAAAGAACATATCAAAACAGTCATTCACCATGATCAAGTAGGTTTCATCCCAGAGACACAGGGATGATTCAATATACAGAAATCCATCAATGAAATTCTCTATATAAGCAAACTCAAAGGAAAAAAAATCACATGATCATTTAATTAGATGCAGAAAAAGCATTTGACAAAATTCAATATCCCTTCATGTTAAAAGTCTTGGAAATATCATGAAGTTAAGGCCCATACCCAAACATAGTAAAAACAATGTACATCAAACCTTTAGCCAACATTAAACTAAATGGAGAGAAACTTGAAGAAGTTCCACTAAAATCAGGGACTAGGAAAGGCTACCCACTTTCTCTTTATCAATAAAGTGCTCGAAGTTCTAGCTAGGCAGTTAAACAGCAAGGGGAGGT